TTTGAAATACCCGGCCCAGTCCAGCCCATGCGGAACCCTGGCGGAGTCTCGGATCTCGGAGACACCACAGTAAATTGCGACTACGCGAAGAAAGAATCAAAATAGGAATATATTAGAATACCTGCTTGAACGTAGCCACCTAACTGATTTGTTGTGTAAAGTAAATCAACAAGATGTAGTTTGTGAACTCGCTTGTGGCGGTCCTCATAAGTATGATCTTACTAAGTAGAATTCTGATCAGTACCAACTTCCAAGGATGCTCAAAGATATGTTGGATGATATACTACAAAAATTTCGGAGTCGAAATAGATACATGCTAAATCTTTATACAATTGGAATTCAGGTAAAATTAGTTTTTGTTAATTATTTGATATCATGTTGAATATTGGATGTTGAATTTTTCTTTGGTTAGCAATATATGACAGAAATCCAAATCTTTATGATGGAAAAACGTGATGTATATCGACTTCATCTTCTAAAATCATTCAATTTACCCCTGTCTTATTCAGTTTATGGTAATTTATGTCTTGCTCTTTCATGGGCATGGAACATTAAAGTAAGTCTAATTCATAGAATTATTTAGCCATCTTCAGGGGATTTTTGTCATTATATTCGTGTATTAATAAGTATTAATATTTTTTTCAGGGACTTGTTGAAAGTCTGTCATATGAATTGGACGATAGAGCATTTGTAACTTCTATAACTCCTGAACGTGATCCACCCAGTGAAATGAAAACTGATACAACACCTGACTGATCAAAAAAAAAAAAATTTTGATATGAGGTCTTATATTGTATATTGTATTTTTACATAGCATTATACGATAATTATAAATTTTATTACGTTTAGTCTTTACTGAGTATTAAATATTAAATATGAACTAGTGATGAAATTTGAATGCATAAATTATAAATAAACTCGAGAAATTTGGTTCATTTTATTTGTTGTATCATAATAGGCAGATAATAAATCTGTCAATTTATTAAATAAAACTTCTATCGTATTTGACGATTTAGACATGAATTTTTTAACAAACTTTCGTAATAACTTTTAACATTCGTTTTTCTAAACTGTCAATTTATTCCTAAATCACGATGCTTCAAACTAGTGTTACGCTTAATGACTTGTAGATTTCTTTAATAGGGGAGGTTTAACAACAAATAAAGGGTTTGCTGCAACTCAGTATTAGATAGAAGTGTCACTCCTTTTAATTGGATAGTTCCAAATGTCTCTGCAACACTATATGATGTCTTTATGATCATCGCGTTTGGTAATTACAATTTTGTTTTAAATATTTATCGTCTTATAAAACGCAATTTTTATTTATATTTATTTATATGTTTTTATAGGAAGGTATATAATTCCAGGTCAAGAGAGTTTAAGTAATAATATTTATATTTTTCGATTTTCGATACATGAAACTACAAATGGGTAATGTCATTAGGTAGAAATAGTGACCAACCAACTTACAATAGCTATTCTAATTCTAAAGTAATCGCTAGTGTGTATGCTGTAGCATTTATTGTAATTGGTGTTGTAAGATTTATTTTATATCAGAAAAACGTAGTATAACTCCACGTGTAACTCTATTCATTTAAGATCAATGTAAAATAAGTATATGAAATTAGAAATTTAGAGGTAGAACTTTAAGTTGAAAGTTATTATATGTAAAATTTTATTTTTGTTAGTGTTTCATGGATTTAAACATTCATTTTCTTTAATTACCACTTTTTTTCGTTTGTTCCATTTTTCTTCGCCTTACACACGTGCTTGTCTGTGATCCAGATAAACAATTTACTGTGGTGTCTCCGAGATCCGAGACTCCGCCAGGGTTCCGCATGGGCTGGACTGGGCCGGGTATTTCAAA